GTACTTCCACCATAAGGAAAGTTCTTCAAAAGCTCTAATTTCAATGGACTCCTATATGCCGCAGTCCTTTTTGCTGGGGCAAGGTTTCATTGTTTTTTGTTTTCCCAACTAATCCTGTGAGGTCTGTGAGGCTATGTTACAGCAGCAGCGAGGCGCCTAAAAGAAAACATCTACATTATATTTTTTTTTGCTGTATTTTTGCCGGGGGCGGTACTTTAGGAATTTCTGGGTGGGGATGTGCCGCTGTGACCCTGAAACCCTTAACCTATACCAGAGCTAGTTCAGCTGAATTTTGCTACCCTATACTAGAGTAAACTCCCCAAATCCCCCCTATCCTAGAGTAGCTGTTTCCCTAGTCTAGATAAAATCTTCAACCAACTGATCAGTTTCCTGAAAAATGATACCCTATTCTAGACCCAAACGCTCTGATTTATATACCCTATCCTAGAGTAAACTGCTTGAAAACCATACCCTTCACAGCGCGCGGCACATACCTATATAGCCCATATATGGCAGCCCCCCGCCCCGGGTATTTTTGACTGCATGCGGCGGACCACATGAATATATAAAACGGAAGTGTAGGGAACTATAAGAGGATAAGACGATCAGGAACCAATCACATGAAGACAAGTTCTTAGGTGAATTTTTCTCCTTGTATGGTTCTTTGTCCGAGGATCAAGACGGGAATATCAAAATAGAATAATAAGGCTCACGTTCACAAAGAAAACTGGAGGACATCTGTGCCTCCCTTTTTGAGCCTACAAATATACGACTACTACAACTGTCAAACCATTTTTGATCTACCTCTTTTGGAATATTGCTTGTAGTTTCAAACCCCATTTCTTTAGATATATAACTTAATCAATTTCGTTGTAAATAAAACTTTTGATTCACTTTTGGAAGTAGGCTTTGAAAACTCTTGGTTACTCCAACTCCCTCCACTAAAATCGACGAGCGCGAGCAAGAACCTATCCGCTACCTCCTTGCTGGTCCCCGCGGTTTTATTTTTATACGCGCGCTTGGCGAGCTTTTAATAGAAAAGAGACGGACTGTCAACAAGCTACATTGCCTGTCCAATGAATTGTTAATACTCATTGTTTTCATAGACTTCTGTATTTCCATTAAAAAGTGAAATAAAAATAACTTGGATTTTTTTTAATGTTCGGGGTTAAACTGTCATGTCATTACTGGCTTGCGCCACCCACTGCTGTTGTGTTGTGAAATGTCATGGAAACTAATTGGCTCTATATACAATGTACGTTATAAACTTTATCTGATGGCATATATTAAACTCTTTAAGAACAACTTAGAAATATCTGACTAGTCATGGGGACACACACTGGTTATTGTTTTTCACAGTTCAACTACTTCACTGAATTTTCTTTTCATGTTGATTGCAGCACAACAGAAACTCCCCTCCTTTGAAAATAACAGTCTGGCAAAATTGCAAGAAGACTAAAAAAGCAAATCAACCATTAAAGATCATACGATAGCTAAACAATAGGAATATCAAAATAGCTTGTGGTGAATAAAGACAACGCTATGAAAAGGACGCACAGAAGAACTTGGTCCTTTATGTCATTCGTATCCATAACTTTTTTGTCTGTTTCTTTCTGCGTTCACATGGTTGGGGGTGTCATGGAGTACCTCTCGCTTGCTAAGGGAGCGATCTACTGTGTCGTTACTACTACATCCTCGTATTTTGGTGGTGGACAATAGAAGAGAGAGCTGTATGAAGGCGGCGGTGCTTCTTCCAATGCCGAATCTTGTTCACTTGTTGCACTTACATGGAATCCCCGAAGTAAAGTGTCACTTGTAGGAGACGATATAATGCTTACAGTGCTGGAGGGATTTGGTAGAGTCAAAAAAATGGGATGTTCGTTCACTTGTTCAGATCGTTGTTCTGTCCTCTGTGAAGCAGGTGTCGAGTTTGCTATTATTCCTGAATCTGTGTTGATAGGAATTTCGACTGCTGTGTTTATTTCGCCGTGTGGAGTGTATGTTCCCGAGCCCACGCGAGTTTGCTTGACTTTCAAACAACGAAAGATTCGTCTGCGAAAAATGCACGCCATTATCACCAACAGGGAGAACAGGAAACCGATCGGTACAGGCCAAATGGAGTTGAACAACGAACCAAGCATAAAGCTGATAAAGTCGCTCTTTTACGCTCGCACTACCGTAAGGAGGATCAATGTTCTTCTGTGAACTAATCCACGAGGTTTGCAAAAAAATACAGCAGATAATACGGAAGTCTTGAAACTGCAGACAAATAACAACTGACGTAGCGAGGTCGAAGTCTTAGTTTTAAGTAAAAAGTAACTTTTTAATATTGATTTCACCTATATTTTTGCGGCACACATGTCACAATGGGGCTATTTTGAGGTCTAATTGCTTCATTAAGCAAAGAGGTCTGGGCGTCATGATTAAGCACTTTTGTTGATTTGAATGCATCACAATTCCACGAATATTACTTATCCGAACAGCTGTGTGAACCCGCTAAAGGAATAACGACAGTTCAACTCACGAGGTTATCGAAAAAAAACGTGTAACAACATACCCCATCCAATAATGCGGAAATGAAACAGTTTAGGCCACCAGTAAAGAGAAAATTTTACTTTAACTTAGAACCATCAAATAAAATTCTGCCTTGTTTTGATTATCCATTCCACGTGGTTCAATCTAAATGCAAATGTCACTTCAACCAAAATCAAGTATAATATCAAGAATATCACGAAAACGAAAACAAGTTGCCCAACTGTGATATCAATTCACGTCACCACTGAATATATTTTCATTTTTGCAACCTTAAATTAGAATAAAGATCCTAAGTAGACAGGAAGAGGGTTTTTCAAAACACCCTTAATTCGAGTGAGCAGATGAACAACAAGCAAGGGATTTTTGGAAACCGTATTTATATCTGTGGTAATGTAATATTGTTGTTTTTGAGTTTGTTCAAACACCTCAACGGCGACGGATCACGAGAGACCCGGCTGAAGGTTACCAACTCTGAAAGATCTCGTGTCGCTCATAAAAGCTATTTAGTCCGAAAGGCGTTGATAAAACGGAAGAGCAAAGTACACTTCGTTATACTTGAAAATCGCACTAATTTGATTTACAATATGCGCACAAGACAGACCGATGAAAAGATTTAACCCTTCCCCGCTAAAAGTGATCAGCGTCAAATTTCTCCTTGTAATATCAGTGCTTTATAAAACAGAGTGGTAATGAGAATTAAGGACATGATCACACAAAATGAATCTAAATGATACCTCAACAAATTCCCCCCACTTCTTCTATCGAAAACGTATAGGGATAACAAATGAGAATTTGAATTTTGATGTTGCGGTTTAAATGGTTAAGGGGCTATGTCACAAGGATACTGCTGTTTTAGGTCAATTCTGTGCTTTACTTAGTACCTTTACCTCACACAAAATGCCGAAAAGTTGGCCCAATTTCCATGTCCATCCTTGCCATCCGTTGCGACAGACGGCAGGAAACAGTTGAATGCCTTAATATAGTCTTAAATAACGAAACTGGAGCACTATTTTTGGAATTCGATTGATGCGAAGATATATATATATATATATTATAGGCCCTTTAAAGAAAGGAAACCATTCATATGCTCTGCCGTATGATAGACAGCTGTCACTATAAGCAGTCAATAATCAAACGCACAGAGCGAACCTTTCGACTCTTGTTTTGCAACCATAAGGCAGCCATGTTGGTTGACAAAACAATTTTCTATATCCATCTTTTTTTTCGCGTTGATTTGCATGAAAAAAAGGATTTGTTCACAATTTACAAAAAGGTTCCGGAAAATCCAGTTGGAAAGTAAATGGAACACGACTTTTTGGGTCATTCTAGCGGAAAATTTCCCGAAGCAACGGAACACCTGAAAAAGTAGTCCTGTTTTTCCGGACGGACTGTTGCACACGAAAATTCGAGTTCCATTTCTTCAAGGCCATCTTTGATACCCGTTTCAGGCCTTCACTGCCCGTTTTTGGTAAATGGAACTGAATTGTACGATGATAAAGGCGATTCCGGGATGAAATTTACCAGTCCCGAATTTTGCTTACCATTGACCCAAACCGTAAACCGACCAGTTTGCCCGGGTAAATGATAAACAACCAGGGTTTTGGCGCTGGGGAACGCTTTTGTTTTTATCGACCAATATGGCCGCCGTGACGTTAGCAGTCCCTATTAGAGAGTTTTAGATCCGAGTTTACCGCGAACCTCTAACCGCTGGAGGTCACGTGACAAGTCTTTCGCGTCACGTTTGAGGTTTACGACGGCGTTTTCAACGTGGGGAGGAAGGTTTTCACGTATGTCATTTACCTGAAAGCTTTTAGCGTATAATTCTTGTTTTATCCCACGTAATGATACAAAAATCTTGTGGAGCAAGTCTTTATCCATTAATAGAGGCACAAATTCGGGCAAAATGCTGAATGTGATAAATCCTATTTGATCTTGAAAACAAGTGCCATTCATGGCTGCTGATTCAAAATGGCGGCCGTAATCTAATCCACCGCCAGTCTAAATCGAATTATGTTTGAACGTCGAACCGCAAACGGGTAACCGGAAACCGTGGTTAGAGGTTCGCGGTAAACTCGAATCCAAAACTCTCTAATATCAAAATGCCAACATCAATTTTCTCCCAATGATATCAATCCATCATCAAGAGAAGAGTAAAAAGAATTGACAAAATGACCACCAAAGAGAAATCAATAAATTCTTTCAAATAATTTGTAAGGAAAATGTACGGAGAATTTGTAGGTGGATCTTGGGGATAAAAGGGCCTGTGGCTCTTCTCTTATGATCACAGTGATGAGACTTAAGGTTGTAAAAATATCAAGGGAATTCATACCACTCACTATTAGAAGACTAGGCAGGTTAAAAATTCTTAAATCGTTATTTATTGGAAAATTCTTTCTGTACAATTCTTTTAAATTAATTAATTGAATTTCAAATTGAATTTCTGTTCTTCACAAATGAAGAAATTGTATTTACAGAATTCGGCGTTTGATTGAAATGAATTCGTAAAAATGGTCCTCAATTTTCTGAAGCATTAAAATTGTGCTAAATTGTCCATTATGAATGTAAAAACACTCCTATCGTAAACTTACCAGAATTTTACCAAATGGAGTGGGAACTGGGCTTAGCATAACAACCGTTTTCAATCCAGCGCCTAGCCTGTGTACTGCGCGCCCTCCGCGGCGGCCGTGCACAGGCCATCCAGCGCCCTGTCCGTAATCAATTTTGACGAGAAGCTAAAAAAAATTAGTGCAAAATGTCAACTGCTCGTCTAGTTGGAGCACCTTTCTTGAGCCTATTCCTAGTTAATCACTTTCACTAGAGTATTAGGGGCACTTCAGCAACGACGAAGGCGACGGCATTGAAAACTTCACTACAGTTGAAATTCCGTTAAGCGGTCACCCTCAAAGTCGAAATAATTGTAGAAAAGAACGGCAAATGGAACATGTATTAAGCGGCCAGCTTTTGGCCGTCCCAATGAGAGTTCTCCCATTGTTGTCATCTCTATTAAGCGGCCATCAAGAGCTCGATACACTTAATCTAGCATTATTTTAAGAATACGATGAAGTAAAATACAGTCTGAGATGGGTGACGACCGATTGTGGACTAGTAATGCTGCTCCCGTCGTGTTATTGTTTCAAAATGAAGTGATATTTCTGCTAAGATGATTCTAATTTATGACGAACCGCTATTTAGCGGCTAACCCCCACTGAACAGCCACTAGCCGGTACCTTGAGGATGGCCTCTAAATGAAAGTTTCACTGTATTAAAAAGACTAAGCGTTTTTTTCCGGTGATTATTCCAACTCGCTTTATATTTTATTGAATTCTTGGGTATCGAGCCCAAGTTTAGAAGGAGAATAAAACAAAGGGTCGTCGTCGTGTAATCACGTCCTTCATTAAACGTCACTTAAGGAAATTTTACGTCCAATTGTGCAGTTACGGAGAAGAAATGTACAAAAAGTGTGATGCACGTGCAGAGCTGCTGTTTTGCTTATTAAACCTACGACTTTTTTTGATGTCCTAGTTGCCGTTGCCGTTGCCGTCGCCGACGTCGTTGCTAAAGCTCCCCATTCGCTCTAAAAGACGGACATCTTCTTATGATAGACACCTAGAGTTGGTCCCCGCCTTACTCATCTAATCGTTGACTCTCTGGATGTATGGCGGATACCACTAAAGATGGAGACTTGCTATTGGTCCTTGCCGATGTTAAGTCACAATGTTTGACTTTCTATAAGACAGAGCCCTCTTTCAGTCCCAGTAATGTCCGTGATAGGGAGACTTGACGATACAGTCATTCCTATTGTCAGCGGAGACGTGTTTGTGGTTCCAGCCACAAACGCAAGGCAACGCTATATATTTAAACTCCCTTAAGTTGAAGGTACTTCTTTTAAGAGAATAATTGTTTATGGTCTAAAGAGTGCTCCATCAAGGCGGCGCAATTGAATCCTTACATAACAATATATTGCTTTACGAATGTTAAAACTTGTTTTTGTTTAAGACAAATGTATTGAAAAGCCTGTTCAGCGTCGCGCGCTACTCAACCATGAAGATTATTTTCTAGTTTCTGACCCCCTTTCCCCAAACTATTTCTTTTTCTTTGTACATCGATTCACGTGCACGTGGCAATAACTCAGTATGGATCTTGAAACGACTGGCGTGGTGTGACAAGGCCCGAAACCCGAGGCAGTAAACGACGAAGCTGAAATGGCTTTATGAAAAAATGCAACAATATTACAATCAAACGCGTTATTAGCCTTTTATCAGCCTCTCTCCCACAGTGACGCAATTCTTAGAACTTTCGCGCACTGCCATAACTCGTGCCCAGTGCTTTCTCTGCATTCCAATTAACAGCGGAAGACACCTGTGGACCAGGCCACTGTAAAAACTTAAGAAATCGTGGACTATTGACGATCCTAATGAAATTACTTTTTACAGCAAGAGGGGTGGATTCATATTAAACAACGGTAATTCAAAGTGCACACAAGATAGTTTTGTACTAAGAGATACTGGGTCAATGTTGGCTGGCAATACAAAAAAGATAGAATTGCGTAACTGCGTGACCAGACTGGAACAAAAGAGAATTCAGAGCTCCTCTCTTGCCTGGAAGTACTAGGAAAGAGACTGTCACTAGACACGTTTATCTTCTTAAAGTTTTGTTCCACAAGAAACGTTAAAAAGTTTAGTATCTATATAAACTACATATGCTATGTGCTCGTGTAAATCTATAATATATTTCTAAAGACTATGACTATTATGCTCTATAATGTCTTTTTTTTTCTCATATACGAATCTTTCTTGATATTGCGAAACAATTGGCAATATACTAAAATATATACTAGGCAATATACCAAGATTCCTTTGGGAAAGATATTCCAAAACCACAGGAAAGTACAGCCGAAGTAATTTTACTGGACGAAGGATCTCACTCACAATCTTGATAACATTTTACACGATTATATGATCGCTAGAGTCAGTAGGTAAACACAAATTCCAAGTAATAATATTTAACCTTACAACTCTTTGAACTCAAACATTCAACAAGCAAAATACAATACAAACCTCGCACCCAGATTACACACAAGAACACAAAACACCAACGAACCACATTTACAGGTGTTATAACAAATACTTTAAACTTTAGTTATTCGGTTACTGTAACAAAACAAAACAAGATACCGATACTCACTGATGATACATACTACAACATGACGTACTCTTCCATAGGCAGAGCTCTATGAATGTGCGTTACAACTAGCAATGAATGACCAAACATACAGTGACTATTTTTTAACGTACGTGTGTGTTTTTTAAGTTAAGAACCATCTTGAGATATTCCTGTTCTATTCAAGAAAACAGAAACTAACAACATCTCCCCAAAAACCTTGGCTCGTCACGTGACGGAATTTCCAAAGATATTCCCGATAACTGCGTGACCTAGTTGTGTGACGAGCCAAAAAAGCGATTGCGTCGAAGGCTACAACACTCTTCCTTCCATTCAAATGGTTCCAGTCTATATATAACTCGATGGAAACCAAAAGGATTACCATTTTGCTACCTAAAAGGTTAATTATATAAACAATTCCCCCTAAGTATTCTACCCGACCCATTAAGTTACTTACTGACCACTGTTAGTTTTCTCAGTTAAACATCTATAAAACTTAAAACGACCAAGCGCCTGTACGATAGGCGTTCAAAAGGGAGGGAAGAACGAAATTGGTGCAGGTGGGAACAGAGAACAACCCTTCATTCTCTCTTCCCAGTGTTCGCCACTTGCCCGGGGCAAGAAGACCCGACATGTTGCCATTTTGGCAAGAGGTCTGTACCAAGTTAAAAAAAACTATTTTACGAGCTATTTAAACACTTGAACTTTGGGCTTAAGCATCAAAATCAATAACATCTGCGACAAATCATAAGCTTACACTCGTCAAAAGAAAAAGTAAAGAATAAGGACGACTACCCGCCATTTTTTTTTTCACTAGCAAGTGATGATAGGTAATTTGTACCTAGCTCTCTAAACACTATAAACGACCGAACATGACAGTCTGACAATTAGAGGTGTGCCCATCAAGTTTTCTTGCGCCAGATTGCCCATTTTCCTTTCCCCTTCGAACGCCTGTCAAGGAGCCTAAGCGACCAACCAACTGCCCTACTCAGTGTTTACATGTGAATGAGATGAACTATGTGACCTACTTACGTTACCTACCTACTGGCACTAATCCTTACACTTGCGTATAAAATGGAAAAACAAATCCTGCATGCGAGGACCACCCGTCTGCGGTGTAGTTTGACACGTGACGTTACCAAGAGAATCCGAAAACACCAGCCGGAAGTGATATGTACTTTGGGAATAGTATGCCACCGGAAGCTGCCATCTGTGACATTTCTTCCACGTGTCCTAGAGCAAGGAAATAAAGTACACTGAATTTAATTTCTTCACTGACACAATGTTTTAGACCGTCTTGGGGGTTCTTCGACCAGCAAGAAGCCTTGCGTGAAGCCACCAGCATTTACAATAAATTCAAACCTCTCTTAGCAGATAATTTCGTAAGTGGACAGTGGCTATCAAGCGTCAACTACACAAAACCCCGATTGACCTGTTCCCTGACGAGAATCATTCCCAGCCGCAGTTTCGGACACTTTTTCTCGTTGCGGCTGCCCAGTGGTGCACGTGCAACAAGGGGTACGACAAGAGCAACAACTGCACAACACAAGATCCAGAATGTTCAGTTCCATTTACAATATGATGACTGACACCTTCTTTTGACTACTATCCTGCTCCCTCCCACTTGCATGATACCTCTCGCGATTCATCGAAGTATTTTTGCAACCGCTTCCACTATTTCGAAGGCCATGGCTTTTCTCCTTGATAACCTTGTACGAAAATCCTCCGTACAACAAAGGGAATGGTTGCAGGAAATTCGCAGTAAATTTTAAGTTGCTGTATGCAAACGAGCCCAGGGTATACTTTTTCTTTTTATGGCAATAAAGATTGTGCAAAAGGTATTATCATCATCGTTATCATTAGCAATACCTTCGTCAGGGTTGTATCAAACTTTGGCCTGTTACTCTGCTCTGGGCAACGGTAAGTGTACCTTTTGTCACATAGCAAAACCAACGAACTTGACGTAGAGCTAGCAGTGAAAGAAAAATATATATGTACACTTAACGATGGCAAACACACAAGAACGTAATCACCAAGGATAGTCCGCATACAACCTAAAACTAATATGTAATATTTTGTTTGTTGCCTCAAGAAATTGCAGCTTGGAATAGAACAAAAAAGCGGTATACACGTGCAAAGTTGTTGTTTTGCTAAGTCTATTGCTTTTTTGACGTTCTTGTTGCCGTCGCCACTGTCGTCGTTTAAGCTCCCTATTGCAGCATGTAGTGCAAGACCAAAAGGTAACTATGACGAGAAGAGGAACTAAAAGACACTTTTCTATAAATCCAATCTTTCTGATCCAAAC